CTATCTTGTTTTGGCAACATATTTGACAAGTTATGTGCCTTACAACCCATGCACTATCCTGCTATAGCTATACATCCTGATTTACATTCAACAGTACTTTAAGACACCTGTAGTATTTAGTCTGTTTATTAGATAATGTTATTTTTGTCATGATATAAATGCAAATTTAACCCCACAATCATTCAATGTAGATATCAGCCTGGTTCCCTGGGTATGCTGCACTGAAGCTTCAGTGTAGCGCCAGCGCGTCATACCCAGGGAACCAGGCTGTTTAGATATCTCTAAATGCATATATTGATGTTATTTGTTTTTACATAAAGCAGATTGTATTTATATATTATGACTGTTAAAACGGCATGCGTGTGTAATCAAATATTAGTACACAGAAACGTTTTCAAAGATATCAAATACAATTATGACAATGTGCAATGCAGATATCTATCGATGTAAATAGAAAAAAAGTATAAACTGATTTATTTGTTTCTCTGGGAATTTGAAACATATTCAGTTTTGAAAAATAAAACATTAAAAGCAAGGTCTACTGATATTAAGAATGAGCTTCATCTATTACAATCATGTCATCATGTCAAAGCAAACTGGATGTAGACAGGGCAATATTGATACAATCGTCATTATTGAAATTGAAAATAAGTATCAATATATTGTTTTTTATCTATAAGATGAAGTATAAGTACCGATGAATATTTTAATATGTTTAAACTAATGTATAGGCTCTTCTGTGTCTGAACAAAATTTAATTTTCTAATATTTAAAATCTTATAAATGCTATAATAATATCTATTTTGTATTTGTCATAATTGAAATGAAGTCAAGGTAGAAATTGTCAACACACAGCCAGCATTCGACCATAAATTCTTTTTATGTACCATGCACCAATCTTACAAATATCAAAATGAATTTCAGTGTTTTCCATTTCTTTTATTTTGAACATTGTATTATTATATGCAGCTGATGACATAATTTTCAGTGCCTGTTTCTTTCACAATTTCTTTAAAAAAATGTTCCCCTGTCTCAGTTGAATACCTGATATATACTTGTGTTCACAACATTAACTGACGAAATTTAATGTGCCCTTTGCATGCGAACTTTTTATTTCGCGTACCACATTGCCTGGCCGCTGTACTGAGCCGCATGCATAAAGCCTGTTTGGCGATTACACAACACAGATCTGGGTACCTATACAATGAAACTATTTTAAAAGTATGTTATTCAGAAATCAAGCGCAGCACTTTAAGTACCGATTGCCACGTAACAAAGCGACCTGGAATGAACGATCAGCTGCTCTCACCGCCTCGCTTCAAACGACTACCAAGTGGTTATCTATACAATATAAACAGTCGTGTTCATCCCTGACGTATCATTGAAGCACTAATATTTCAGGACACGACAAACAGATAGACAATTGTTTAGGCGGAAAAATATAATAGTACTGTCCATAAACCAGCGTGACCGTTACCGAGGTAAAGGCTTCACTGGTCAACTGTCTATAGGTGTGATTGCATCATTACTGCGTTTCGAACATACCACATGCGATGTCACTTTAAGGTTGGACAGTCCGAATCAGCGCACCTAGCCGGTTAGTGAAGGAAAGCGAAATGGACAAAGATCGCCCATTTGTCCAGTTTTTAATTTTTTTTTATCGCGGAGAATAATCGCCACAGCACTTGCGCAACAAGGGAAAAAACCAGGTGCTGATTACAAGGTAAACTAGTACTATTTATTTGTGATGGAGCCCCTTATTCCCCAATAATAACTTCATTATGGCCTCTCCAGTAATGTCTACTTCATAAATAGTATTTATTATAAAAAAAATTATTAGACAACAAATCAAACCAGCGAGAGGGTATCAGAAACCGCTAGTCACATATCAGTAGCCCTATCAACAGTACATTCCCCTTTTATCATTATTGAACATAGATGTAGGAGACACCATCAGACTTACCGATCTAGAAAATCTTGAAGTTCCAAAGCTCTCGGGGTCCTCCAGTGCTGCATTACATGCTGCGTTACATGCTGGGGCCATTGCAGTGAGTTTCAGGAATGTCCATATGAAATGGTGACGCGTGTCTCAAGTGATTTGACAATGACATCATGTGATATCTGAGTCAGCATGCACTGTTGCAGAATTCAGCTGATAAATGTACGAGTTAACTACTGGAGAACACGAAACTCGTCAAAGTATTTTAATAGCATTTATTAATCTTTCACATCGACGGTCCATGTTTCGGCATATATTCATGTGAGACGTGTTTATACAGCAACATCATTTAATTTTATTATATTTACAACAATATTCTGCATACTGATTGATAACCTAAAACATAGGTGATAGCAACGAATCAGTGCATAAGAAGGACATTGCGTGAACAGATTTTCTCTCAATTGGATCTGTGGTGTGAATGCAATTTGACCTAGTATGGCGACAGTGAAATCATTTTGAATCAAAATTTCCTTAGTTCGACTTAAGCCAATTATGCTGACCTTAGAAACTTGAAATTTGTTACAAATGCAGGAGTTACAAGCGCGTCCGGTTTCAATTCAATTCAGCTCGGTTGAATCTACAGGTTACCGTACTGTTCATTCAAGACACAGTTTCCCCTGATTCATATCAACATACCCCAGGTCACCCAGAGAAGCAGACGCTCTCCGTTTGAGTGTCAAGCAGTTATAATAGTTGAAGAGACAACGCACGTCGACTGTGCATTTCAAGCCTTACACACTGTCTGTCATCAACTGACACTTTGGATAAAGCCACTAAAAGACGGTCATACGAGGGGCGTTCAATAAGTTTTGCAACTTCAATATTAGACCAAGTCGCAGAATATCTTTTGCACTTTTATTTTTTAATATAATCTCCATTCACCTCAATACACTTATTCCATTTGTCGTTCAAGCTTTTAATACCACTTATATAGAAATCCGCAGATTGGCCCTCTAACCCCCCTACTGTGGCAGCCTTTATGTCCTCGTCATCCTGGAAGCGTCTTCCACGTAGGGCAGATTTCATTTGCCGGAACAGGAAATAGTCACTGGGGGATAAGTCTTGGCTGAAGCGTAGGTGATTTAACTGTACAGCCCAGACTTATACTTTCATCAATGACACTTAATCATTATATTACGCTTAATGTTGTTTAAGTATATGGTGTTGGACATTCTCGAACTGATAATTAAGCGTTTTGTCAGTAAGAATTTGTTTTTCTTTTCTTACCCATGTAACATATTTCATTCCGACAAATGTATGTTTGTATAAGATTTGTTTGTATTTATTTCTGTTTTAATGCCATATACAAAGTGGCATTTAAGAATATGTGTACAAGTGTTACCTTTTCGTTCTTACATGTGCTGCAAACGTTGCTTTCGTCGCTTTGGAAATATTGTGTGAACGATACCAGATAGATTGTTTTTAACTAAAATGGGGGCAAAATGGTATAATGTTACAATAGATTACTTTCTTTCGTGTACTTTCACATTTTGCTTCGTATTTTTAACTTAAACTATACAGTGTTTGGAACTGAAAATTATGTATTTTGTCCCCTTTGTACTATTTTATTGTTTGATTTGGGCAATTATCCATCCGTTTTAATTGCTTATGTTCCCGTGTTTTCACGCTGTGAAGCATTATGGTACAGAACACTTTTTTCCCGAGTAAACCTAAACTCCACACGACCAGATGCAGCATTTTATACGACCAGGCCACCCGTGACCCCAACAGACTGATTAAGTATTTTACGGTATTTTATTTAGGTTGCCCATAGTCTGGTGTAAGTAAGGGTGTAAAAGCCACTGCGCTGTAAACTATTAAGGAAGTTGCAGATTAACAAAATATTATTTTAACAAAGAAAACGTGAACATGAAAATTCTTCTTTGTTTTGCTGCATTGATTCCATTATTTGTGAATCCATGGCAAAAGTAAGGTAAACAAACCCGACGTCCAGTTTTTAACCTTGATGTTTATGTTGTGTACTAGTACGAGGCAACCTTCTTCAAACTTAAATACATTTAGAACTTGCGTGAAAGAACTGCTTCTTGTATATTAACACCCCCAAACCTAATGCCATATATAGTATATCCTTTATAATTGCTGTATCAATACCAACATTCACACCTCAAACCTTCATGTCTGCAGTTCCAAATAGTGATTTTATGAATGCTGTTAAACGCCGCATTCCGCTATAATCCATCTGTATAACGGCGACCTGTACGTGATTGTGTCTAGACCAGGTAAACCAGTGCTTGAAAACATTTAAATTTATCAACGATCAACATTGTCGATGTCACAGAGCCTGACCACCCGACACAATCAAATATTTTCTTTCTGTCGGAAATGGAGTGCTGGGTGACCCGTCTTAACCAAAGGATCTTCACGGAGGCAGGTTTATAGGAACTCTTTTAAGATGATAACGTACCGATGTTGCAGAATATTATTTCAAGCTGTTTCATATAGCTAAAAATGTGACATATATATTACCGAAATGTTTCGGGTGCTTACAGGATGTTGTACCAAACAAAATTATGCATTAAATTTTAAGCTGTCTCAATTTCTATCCCCAGTGTGGTCAATAATGAATGTTTTTATTTCGATTTTGCAAATTTGAGCGCACACCCAACATCGTACAACTATAAAGGGTGACACTGTTTGTAATATATCCCCTGCTTAATATCCAACAAGCAAATACGATAACGAAATAACAGATTACTTCCTTGCTGGGCGTAAATGCATTTGCTTAATTCATACAGGATCTGCACTTCGCTACCCCGCAGGATTTCCATTTTTAAGCTCTTATTTGTTTATGAAACTTTAAATAGTAAGGCACTTTATCGAAAACAATAAATTGTCCCGATATTTTTTGAAAAACAAATAAACTTCAGGCTGATGAATAAAAAGTGAAATTGGATTGTCTGGTCTCGATTTATTTACAGACCGTCGTTATATAACTGGAATATTGCTTGGTGCGGCGTAAAACAACAAACAATCAAATATGAATCACTGTCAAAGGACTTCCTATACACAGCAATTCGAGTTGCGTAGTGGACACAGACATCTCCTAGCAGACATCCTCAATATGGCAGGAAAGCCCAAAGAGACGGGCCGTTTTTTTTGTGAAATCCAGGAGCGCAGGTATGGGCCACGGTTCGCTATAATTGTAGGTGCAAATCTGGGATGGACTCGGACCTAGGATCAGTGGATACGATTGAAGACACAGCTCTTCATTGACATGTCTTAGACCCCTGGGCCAGCCACGCCATTCTCTGATACTGATGTTTAATGCTAACAAACAAAGACGTCTATTATAAGATTTATAACCGAAACAAAATATACATGAAGAATGTATTTTTGTACAACTATCTGTTTTCATACAATAATTATTGCTGTTATATTTACAGCTTGAGCAAGCCATTTCGGCACAATGTGAACCTTCTCAATATTGTCATTGTTTCATTTAACATTAAAACATAGGTCCTTGGTGTCTTCTGTTGGACAGTGGGTCGATTGGGTATCTTGCTCGTTAACGCGCCCACTCGTCACGCCGAAGACCAGGGTTCGAATCCTCACATTGGCACAGCGTGTGAAGCCCATTTCGGGTGTCCCCCGTCGTGATATTGCTAGAATATTGCTAAACGCGGCTTAAAACCATACTCACTCACTCACTTACTCACTCTTTTGTGCACATAAAGTTTAAGTTTGTAGATTCCCAAGTGGAGAGCATGGAGCAATACAATGCCAATACTGGCCCCGATCAGAACACCAGCAGTCATCCCTGGTTTGTTCCAATTCAACACTACGCGGTAAATAACATGGGTGTGATCGGACGCCCAGAAGAAAACACTGAACATGACATAGATGAATCCAAAGATGAAAGGATAAACGACGTGGCACATACGCACAGGGCGTCCACTGATAACGACATCCACGATGATGAAGACGGTGTTGAGAGCGTGGACGTTGATATTGAAGTACCTCCCGCAGGTAACATCCTTCGGACACATGGCTGTGTAGTAAACAGCAGTCACAACAATCACAAACACAAAAACAATATTTGTAGATATCCACGATATTGAAATCGTCACGCGTTTCACAATGCGCCACCTCGTGTCAGTGCTGGTGTTGCTCTCAGAAGAGTTGCTGGTGTCTTCGTGGAGAATGTCGTTGGTGTCCGGTGAACCGTCCTGCTTCGAGAACACGTCACTCCCTCGCCTGTTCTTTATAGCAGTACTTGGACGAGATCTCTGATAGTATGCAGATACGTGGTGAGTACAGACAATGATTGCGGACAGCAGAAAGTGGAGGAATACTGTACAGTAGGACCACGTGGTGAGGAACACGCCAACATCGTACTTGAGATCAGCTGACTTGCACCACAGTATGAATCCATTCAGGGTATAGATCGTCATTATTCCATAGAGCATTGCAAGGGCTATCGGTGAGCACCATCTCCACTGAAACAAAGTCAGAAGTGAATGGTCACTATTGCAAATGCCGAAACATCCTTTTGGAAATGGAGCGGTGCACTTAACATACATCATAGCAGGTTAATTCGCGAACACATTGTGTTTGGTGGTCATGTAATTCCAAACGTACTTTATGGATAACAACTTCTGGCTTATTGTAAATGTACACTCTGACAGTGTTGTCAAGCTTGCTAACGGTGTTGCATGTTTCCTTATTGACTCACCAACTACTAGAATGCCATCAAACAGGCGTGTAATTCGTGGTCAAAACATATATATACGTTCACATGGTTAGTATGCTTCAAAACGTTTGGTTGTGTGTATGTTTATATGTTGAAATTGAAAGATGACGGAACGGATATACCTTTGAGAACAGTATTTTCTTTAAGTTGATATACTGTTCGTACCTCGACGGTTCGGGGTTGTTTGGGTGTGAGGTGGTACGTGACACCAACATACTGTACCCATAGGGGCACGGATATGGGAGTAATAATTTTCAGTAATTATCACTGATCATTATCAACTTTATTAACTGGAACGATTTCTGTTGTGCGGGGTCGGGCAACAAACAAACACTTACGTGATATTGCTGGAATATTGCTAAAAGCGGCGTTAAACAATACTCACTCACTCACCCCCTTTTTTTAATTGAAATTGTGTGGCGGTGGCTAACGGTAGGGCAGGGCGTGATTACCCTTTTTGCGAACACCTGGTGTCATCAGGGATCCATTCATATATTTTTCACCGTTATTTTGTCCATTTCGTTGGATAATCGGGACTGGTTGATCTAAGGTAGTGACGTTTTACATTTAGGCCATACTGATTGGGTTAATTCATGTCAATTTTACCTTAGCAATGTAACGTCATATCAATGTCGTATCAATACTTGAAGATGACGTCCGTGGTTCATTACGTTACGTATTGTTAAAAAAATAGATATTATTGAGCTGATGGCCCCACGTGGGATAAGGTATCCCACAGTGTTCTACACTTTCTCTGAAAAAAGGCTGTATGTTCATGTAAACTATAGAACAACCTACTCGCAACACGATAATATGTCGCTTGTGGAATATTATTGAAAGTACGTGAACAAGATTTAGACCTAAATCCGTAACTTCTCGTAGCTCGTATGTATTCGCTGACTCACTCAATGTCTTATTTGTTTAAAAGGTGTCTCCATGTTGAAAGCAAGTAAACATTTATCTCCAATTAGTCTGCGAGGCCCCGTCCTTACTCAACCACAAACGTGTCTGTGAACAGGTTCATGTTTGTCTTAACGCCAACGTTTAGAATCACATAATGTAGTTTACAGTTTTGAATGTTCTTGTGTTTAATTGGGATGATGTTCTGGTGTTTAATTGGGATAATATTTACATCTTTTTACGTCTGGTACTGTAACACTAGGTGTAAACGAATTACACCATTAACAATCTTATGATGAAATTGTTTAACAGAAATAACACGACTACCAAACGTAAATGATTTCGCAGATCATTTGCATGCATCTAGCATGTTGTATGTTAAATTATCTCCCCCTTGTCCACCAACCTGGAATAGGCATATGTGGGTTTTTAATCTATCAAACCTGGTGACTGATTATAGTTGATACAGAATAAAAAAAAGAAGTTTAATGATGATGTTCAGCAATTGGGGGTATGGTGGTAAGTGGTATGGTGTCGCCAGAATGTTTATTGTAATAGTTATTTTATTCATTTTAAGCAGAAATAAACAAGGTCCCTGGATTTGACCCGAACTGAATCCAGTGTGACCTGTGACCTGTACAAGTGAAAAGTCATATTCATGATGAAAGTACTATTTCAAATAAATAGGGTCTACATTTGATATTCACAATTCCTCTAAATTTGATGGTAGTGTTTAGTAGAGCTGTTTTACCATTTGTTTGGAAACGTACATGTATATGCAATATACACGTGGGTAGGTTAAGCAAACACGCCTTACCTGCGATTTAGTGAAGGGTTCGATGTTCTCAGGTAGAGGAGATAGTTGCCTCAAAAACACACGCAGTTTACTCCGTACATCAGGCATTTTGTCAGGACGGTAGTCACAGCAGGGACACCTGTTAGATGACATGACACGGAACTTAGAACGCTAAGGTATTTGAACAGGAAGGGGTCTCCCCCGCATACAAGCGCACAGAAAGCCTCCACTGTCTGAGTGTGAATACACAGGTGACGCGCAACTCAAGTTTCAATGACGCCAGATTTTACTGTTGACTGTTGTGAAAGAAAGGATTTGGGTTATAGGATACCTCTCTCCATCAAGGTTTAGCATAAATTAATTAAATACTTGGATTAATGTGTGAGAATTATGTCTATTACGAATAGCAGTCACAACAGAGACAGGAGAGGGATTCGGATTCTCAATGTTGAGAGAAAGTATTCACGAATCCCTTAGCGTGATCCGGACCCCTGTTTCATAGAAGGCTGTCAGACGCTTCGAACAGTTTCGTCAGTTTGTACAAGTCTGTGATAGATTAACAGCAGGCAGATTCTTCATACATGGTTTGTTTGTACAAGACAGTGACAAGCTAGCAGCAGGCAGTTCAGTGCAAACACGACTGACTCGACACATGAATGGTGATGGCACGTACATGTTCAATGTTCAATGTACAATGCAATACGTATATCTCGAATTTAGGGATATTGTGATGTAACCAGAATGTCGAGATCAAGAGTCGGTGATTCGGGTTTTAGGCCACTTTCAACAGTATATGTGTGACATCAATGTTGTCAGTGGGGGAAGAAATCCCCAAACGAGAGACATAGCTGTTTACCTGTTGGAAATCACGAGCGCAGGTATGGTTTACAAACCGAGGATCATAATGTGGGATTCGGACGGATCAGGGCACTTAATATATGTAAGTGTATAAAGACTTTGTTTGTTGTGTAACGCCGAACCCTGAGCTATATGTACGACCGCCTCTGTGGTTCAGTGGATGCTCGGTGGTTCGATCCCCGGCTGCGTCATACCCAAAGACGTTAAACTGATACTTGCTTCCCTATCTGGCGCTCGGCATTAGGGGATAAACAAGTATTGATCAACTCGGAGTCAGAATACTGTGTCTGAGTGGGGTATTCATATTGTTTATCACGTATGTGAACAGTGAGTGAATGGCGTGTCTGCTTAAAGTGATATAAAAGTCCAGTTTTCGATGTTTACTACAATTAGTGAAAGCCACGAGCACAGGTATGGTGCTGACAAACCCAGAAACGTAATAGGGAAATTGACAAACAGAATCATCCTCAAACCAAGACTTAATTCCTCCCCATACGCATACAAAACTTATCAAGAGCACGTGAAAATATATACTCAAAATTGGGAAATGCTCGTGTACAAATTGGTCATCATCAAGTTTTCGTTGGTATATCCAGACAGAATAGCTAGTCCGCCATGCTTGTCACAAGGGTCGACGGGTGTGGATCGGTTACAGGGTGTCGCCAAGGTGTGTCCCTACGGTGTTATCGTTTCCCATGCTTACAACCACCTGGGTGCCTGGCCAAGACTCTCATTCAAGCTATGTCACGACGGACTGTAAATAACTGAACCCTGACCAAACAAGGGTTTGACTATTACAGACAAATGTTAGTTAACTGGTCAAATTAAAACATTCCAATTAATTGTTAGCAACAAGAACATTAATCAGTGATTAATGAGTTAGAATACAGACGCATGTTGGTTTACGACGCAGTCGGCCCCCTGTGCGTGATTGCGTTTATGGTCTGGCAAATCAGTGTTGAACTAGCAACGATCCACATCCGGGGATAGCCAGGTCATGCATCGTAGCTACCCACCCCTCAATATGCGACAAATATAGGGTGCTCGCTACAGAAATTCTCAAGGGATTTCACGTTTTAGGAAACCCATGCCAGTAAACAGTGAAAATATCACATCTATATTACTCAAAAGAAGTTAAGAACACCCGATCATTATAAGAAATATCGTGTGTTCTTTAACTTCTTTCTGGTAGTATATGTACCCAAAATGTGCATACGCATTCACGTTGACTCAGGAAGCTAATCAGTTGGGGAGCAACTTTTAATCATACGAACTGAGCTACATTGTTTGTCAGCTTCTCACTTCAACTGTTCATAAATCAACCTGGAAATAAAGCTCAAGAGATTGGCCCCTTTCCTGGTGTTCCCATCTCTGACAGTTACGAGCTTAGCGTTGATCGTGATATCTCCAAAATAGAACAGTGTTGAGAGTTGAGAAGATGCATGGGACAAATCCTTTACTTTCAGCTGACATTATGCCCTCGACGTCATGGGAGGATTGAATAAGTAACCTGCGAAGATAGGGGAGCAGTTGGGAGGCTGATACTTTATCATCATTCACACACTTCTACATGTGTTGTCACGCTTGAATCACTTTGTTTCCAAGCCTGTCATCATATCACAGTTCCCATTGCCAGTTGGAGCACACATATCCATATCTCTGAATACGTAAGTCCGGAAGGTGACATTTTACATTTTACATTTTACGCTGCACCTCATACTCATACTGCTGCAACACATACTGCGATGATGCAACATGGGATACAACTTGTTATACTATATAACACTGTCAACGGACGTGACTGTTATCGTAGACGTCCGATACCTAAATGGCACCCTTTTTGTCCAACTCCAATGATCTAGTTCTTTGATGCACTTCAATACTTTCCTTGGAGTTATTATCCTTTGAGCATGTGAGGATAAATGATGATGGGTTCGAATCCCCTTGTAGATCCTTGGTGTGTCAGCGCCATAACTTTGCTTCATCACATCGGGCCTTTCACCCACATCAAGCTGACGCGCCGTGATATAACAGATTTACTGTTCATAAGTTTCGTTAAACCAAACCAAAAGTTCCATAAACTTGCATGTTTTTACGCCGCTTTTAGCAATATTCCAGCTATATCATGGCGGGGGACACCAGAAATGGGCTTCACACATTTTACCAAAGTAAGGAATCGAACTCGGAGTCTTCGGCGTCAAAAAGCTGGAATATTGCTGAGTGTAGCGTTAACAAACAAAATAATAAAAACACCCTGAGTTGAAAAAGACAAACAATATTCCACTTGTAGTAGACAAACTTCCACATTGTGTCACGGATACTTTCAGTCAAAGCTTAATTCACAAACACACATAGTATATATATGTTTATGTGGGTTTTTTCCCTCATGCATATCATTTGTAACTTTTTCGTAGAATGGAAGCACTACCTGATATTTTCACAAGTATAAAACATTATATATATTAAATATATTTCACATTTTAGGAATATACGAGCAACGTTTTATACTGGTTATACTGGTAAACATTTACAGTCGTACCTGCAAAATCAGATACGTATAAATAATAGCGTCAAGAACCACTTTCATATCCATAAGTCATCTCTGCTAAAACGAAAGTCCATTGAACGATTCCGACCATAAAAGAATGTGTTTATGAATCACTATCAAATAGTGACAATGCCAAGTGTTCCCGAAAAAGTCAATTCGGACATCATTAAAGACGGCCCTCTTCATCCCCTAGATGTCATTTATGGGATTTAGCCGGTCAGTTGTCTTTATCGTATATTTTGCTATAAATAAAAAGCGTAAGTTGATAAAGACCGAAGTATCCAACTTGCAGTATGAATGCAAGCACGACCACGCCTAACATTATGCCAACAGTAGACCCTGGAGTAGACCAGTCCAGTACATATTTGTAGATGACAGCCCTGTCAGTTGCCCAGTAGATGAGGCTGAAGATGATATACACCGCAGCGTATATCCACGTGTGAAAAACATGTAAGATACGCACAGGTCGCGCGCTGACAACGTTGTCAATGATGATGAAGACGGAGTTGAGGCCGTGGACGTTCAGGTTTGACAGTGTGATGCCAGACGAAGGCTTGTATAACGCACCAAAGTAGATTGACGTCACAATGATGGCAGTATCTGATGTAATGTTTGCCAGGATCCAGGATATTTTGGAATACCAGGGCGTCAATTTCGAATCTTGAGTCTCACTTGCGTCTGGAGGTTTGGATTCGGATTTTGTCAAGCCTCTATTTGTCTCAATGTCAGCTTCGACGGTACTTTTTACATGACTTTCCATGCCGTTGTTGCGTTTGTCTACTGCGGTTACACTGGCCTGTTTAGACGGGGCGCTTTTGGCCACTGGGTATGTTTTTGTAGACTTCTCATGTATGTAACATACAACAGCGACGACGAAAGCAATGAAGAAATGGAATGTGAGAACCAGATATGACCAGTTGGTCAAGTACGCCATTACATTAAACACTGGTTCTGTTGATGGTTCGCTGCTGCCGGCCTCCACTCTCGCCAGCGCATAGATGAGGGCAAACAGAGTATATCCCGCCATCACAAGACGGTAGATCAGATATACTGGACGGGGCCATCTCCACTGCAAGGAAACGGTTTTACACATGAAGACTTTCACCAGTGTGTTTCACAACAGTATCAATTGTTACATGCAAGGATACACATACTGGGATTATTTGAGTTATAAAAAATGATAATACAGAAAACAAATTTATTTTTTCCTGTGATAATATATCCTTCATTGCTCTTTCAAATTGTTTAATCCAATACATCATATGAGAAGATTGGAAATGTTTGGGGGTTTTTATATTCTAATCGGGTATACTATCAATTATTATTAAATGAAAGTTTCAGAAAAGTATATGTTTTCAATCCCAGTCAGCAATACCCATCTTAATCACACCCGGCCGAGAAGCAGATCAGTGGCCCATGCACATGTATGCCAGGAAGTACCACAAAGTCTGCAAGGTTACGAGAAGTTCTTCCAAGTCGTTCACTAATAAAAAAAACCCCGCCAAAGTGACCCCCTTTCTTGAAGGCAACTGTGGATACCTACTCTGTGTCATGCTCCCCACGGGGGGCAAGGTGCGTGATGGAATAAACACGAATGTTCAAAATGTTTACAATGTGAATATATAGTGATTAGGCCAGCAGTATGAGACACGGAATTAGTTTACGAAAGATTTACTAGATAAACAGATTATTGATTAAATTTTCAAGGATTTTTCATTTCATAAGTTTCCTTTTTAGTTTTACTGACGCCAATAATCCCAGTGATCGCTTGATACAATACCTGTTGCATGGTTGGAATAGTGCTCAGGTCGGATTTAAACCCAATGATATTCACATGATACAATTGCTAACCCCCTTCATCAGGAACTACTCAAACACTATTCTAACTCTAATGATAAAATAGATGAAAAATTATGGATAGCAACTTCGAATTATATTTTAATAGCGACGTTTCGGTTTAGTGAGTGAGTTATGTTTAACGCCGCTTTTAACAGTATTCCAGTTATATCACGGCGTGTCAGCTTAATGTGGGAGGAAAGCCAAAAGTGATGCAGTGATGAGTCTTTCATCATCTTGGAGTAGGTGGTGGGGTCTTCGAGGCTGTTGTTGTCTAGATCGTACAAGTCTACGGTGTTCATGATGACTGTGGCCTCGCCCTTGTCAGTAGGAGATGATGTTAAACCCTCTCATGTATGATAATTGTTGTTACTTTTATTACCTACAATGTATAACTCTTGCTTGCTTGACAACTAATTTTCGCACTAATTATAATAACCACAATTTACCAGTCGAGACTGGCCGCTGGAATAATGTACCAAGAGAACAACGTGTATGTTCACTCTGTAACGCCCCAGCAATAACAGTTGAATTCCATTATATATTTTGATGTCAAGCTTTAGATAACAAAAGACTTTCACTTATTCCTAGAAAATATTTAAATTGGTCAAATGTGTTTTCATTAAAAAAGCCTATTTTCAACAACCAAACGAGTTAAAACGTCTATCAAGATATGTATTATTTGTATTTACCACTTTGAATGCTAAATCTGAACGCACACAGCCTCCTTGATGTACATATTATATTCATCTCTGTACTTTATGTATGCTCTTGTACCATGGTGGTCTTTGGAGAAATAAAGAATCTGAATCTGACAATGGTATAAGCATCGATACCTAAACGTCGCTATTACAGTATAATGAAGAAGTTGTTATCCATAAACGTTTGTCTACCTTGAAGGAGACATTGATTTATTGTTGAATAGGTACTTTTGTCGTGATGTCTGTCACTACAACAAACATTAGCCCCGCTTATTTATGCAGCGACAACCTCAAGAGTTACGTATCTTATGTATACTTTGTCTGGAGTGATACAAATAGTCCACACATTTCTCGGTTCATTTAGCAAGATCAAAATGCAAAATACTTTATTTGGCTGCATTTACATGTACCAGCCTAACACAACACCCAGACGGGTGAGGTTGCTGGTTATTTATGGTATCTCTGGGTTTAGCCTTCGAAGCTGACGAATATTCATGATGTACTGTTTGAGGTATTGCCCATAAGACTGTGATGAAAGAAATCATTAATCAACTCTACACCTACAGTATGGTTACTGACGAAAACATTGATTAAAACCACAGCATCTCTGTACTTTGAACATGATTTATTCATCTGTTGATTGTTTGGGGCGATTGGTTTAATTTTAGTTTCTTAATCGTTTTTTCTCCTTATATACCCATAATGGAATATTTGAAAATATGTTATTTTAACAATTACGTATTTAAGATTTAAAATATGCGCTATTGATCAGGGTGTTTTCTTAACAATACTTCTCATACCACAAATATTTACCAGATTCTTATGCATCCGTATCATACTTTATTTGATCAAAATTCAAATTTATAAACACATCTCATTTGAAATAGATATGTAGCGTATCTTACCTGTGATGTCCCAAAGTATTCAGGGTGATGGAAATTCAACCCGAAATTACACAGGCGAAACTCATTCCGGATGACAGTGCACATCTTGGATCATCGAGCAATCAGTGCTAATGTTTTCTTAAACCCAAACTCTTTGTATTGATCACACAGTGGAATAATCGATAATGAACTCTGACACGACACGAACAAGTCTCCCCACAGGTCACGTGCACAAAAGCGACCAATACATGGAACATCTTGAGGACGACGACAAGCATTATACCTCAGGGGTTAATGGTATGTAAAGTGTTCTGTTTTTAGCACCCGGTTTACTCGATAAGGGTGCTTCTGTTTACTGTGTTCCACACCCGTGCCACATTGCACCGATCTCGCCCATACTTGAAATAGTAAATAGATGTGATTGCCGACGTCAGACGTTTAAAGGAAATTATTCCATTGAATAGAACGGGAATAGGTAATTTCTAATACTCTGTATGTACATACATATTCTGTAAATACGTGAAAATATACAGTATTATGTTTAGTCTGACAATACGAACCTATGATGGTGGGTGTCATTAAACTGATACACGAGTACATCCTGCTTTCCTTCGGGCTTTCCTTCGGGCTTTCCTTCGGGCTTTCCTGCACAACGATACCCTGACAGTGGAAACGAGGTGAGGGTTTAACGTCGCGTCCAAGATTATTGCATTTATATAGTGTGTGGCTGCTTGTACCAGTCCGGACTGATGCCGATTTATAGTGCTAGCTCACTGAGATACCATGCTGCAGTTTTAACATGAATACCCCACTCAGACACAGTATACTGACTCCGAGCCGACCAGTCCTTGTTTTAGCCCCTTAATGCCGAGCGTCAGACAGGGTGACAACAAGTACCATCTTTTAACTTTTGGTATGACGCGGCCGGGTATCGAACCCGGACCTTCCGCTCTCCGGGCGGACGCTCTGCCTCTAGACCACGGAGGCGGTTGGCAGTGGAAATGATGTTTAATTTAAAGGGTCATTCAACCCAACTCACTCCACGCGTATTGAGAGTATATTTTGATGTACTGTTTAGTTGTGATCACATGGCAGCAGCATTTGACATGGTTGTTTTTGTCCAGTTCTTACATTACGACTGTTTGCTACCGTTGTTTTATGAAATAGCCTTTGCATGTTATTGTACTATTATATATATTAGAAGGAATGTTGGTAAGAAAACCAAGAATGTTTTGAAATATCAGTCTACAAAGAGAAGAACGTCTAAATATTGTACATGTTCTATCAACATGTATTTTCATAATACATGATAAACGTGTCCGTCCGAAACCTCATGATCCGACGATAATACCTTGTTACTGTGAATGAGTAATATTGCTGCACTTGAAACTGCAATATTCCAGCAATATCACAACGGTTCACTATTATCAAGTAACGCCTAACTTACGCACGACACCATGAACTGTGGGGAAAGAGGTGGACCAGTGGGGATGGGTTGATTGTAGTAGTGTAGAGACTGTGGGGAAAGGGCTGGACCAGGGAGGGTGGGTTGATTGTAGTAGTGTAAAGACTGTGGGGGAAGGGGTGGACCAGTGAGTGTGGGTTGATTGTAGTAGTGTAAAGACTGTGGGGGAAGGGGCGGACCAGTGAGGGTGGGTTGATTGTAGCAGTGCAGAGACTGTGGAGGAAGGGGTGGACCAGTGAGGGTGGGTTGATTGTAGTGGTGTAAAGACTGTAAGGGAGGGGTGGACCAGTGAGGGAGGGTTGATTGTAGTGGTGTAGTGACTGTGGAGGAAGGGGTGGACCAGTGAGGGAGGGTTGATTGTAGTGGTGTATTGACTGTGGGGGAAGGGGTGGACCAGTGAGGATGGGTTGATTGTAGTGGTGTAGAGACTGTGGGGGAAGGGGTGGACCAGTGAGGGTGGGTTGATTGTAGTAGTGTAGTGACTGTGGATGAAGGGGTGGACCATTGAGGGAGGGTTAATTGTAGTGGTGTAAAGACTGTGGGGGAAGGGGTGGACCAGTAGAGGGAGGGTTGATTGTAGTAGTGTAGTGACTGTAGAGGAAGGGGTGGACCAGTGAGGGAGGGTTAATTGTAGTGGTGTAGAGACTTTGGGGGAAGGGGTGGACCAGTGAGGAAGGGTTGATTGTAGTAGTGTAGTGACTGTAGAGGAAGGGGTGGACCAGTGAGGGAGGGTTGATTGTAGTGGTGTAGTGACTGTGGAGGAAGGGGTGGACCAGTAAGGGGGGGTTGATTGTAGTGGTGTAGTGACTGTGGAGGAAGGGGTGAACCAGTGAGGGAGGGTTAATTGTAGTGGTGTAAAGACTGGGGGAAGGGGTGGACCAGTAGAGGGAAGGGTTGATTGTAGTTGTGTAGTGACTGTAGAGGAAGGGGTGGACCATTGAGGGAGGGTTGATTGTAGTGGTGTAGTGACTGTGGAGGAAGGGGTGGACCAGTGAGGGAGGGTTGATTGTAGTGGTGTAGTGACTGTGGAGGAAGGGGTGGACCAGTGAGGGAGGGTTGATTGTAGTGGTGTAGTGACTGTGGAGGAAGGGGTGAACCAGTGAGGGAGGGTTAATTGTAGTGGTGTAAAGACTGTGGGGGAAGGGGTGGACCAGTAGAGGGAAGGGTTGATTGTAGTTGTGTAGTGACTGTAGAGGAAGGGGTGGACCATTGAGGGAGGGTTGATTGTAGTGGTGTAGTGACCGTGGAGGAAGGGGTGGACCAGTGAGGGAGGGTTGATTGTAGTGGTGTAGTGACTGTGGAGGAAGGGGTGGACCAGTAAGGGAGGGTTGATTGTAGTGGTGTAGTGACTGTGGATGAAGGGGTGGACCAGTGAGGGAGGGTTAATTGTAGTGGTGTAAAGACTGTGGGGGAAGGGGTGGACCAGTAGAGGGAGGGTTGATTGTAGTAGTGTAGTGACTGTGGAGGAAGGGGTGGACCAGTGAGGGAGGGTTGATTGTAGTGGTGTAGAGACTGTGGAGGAAGGGGTGGACCAGTGAGGGAGGGTTGATTGTAGTGGTGTAGAGACTGTGGAGGAAGGGGTGGACCAGTTAGCGTGGGTTGATTGTAGTGGTGTAGAGACTGTGTGGGAAGGGGTGGACCAGTGAGGGTGGGTTGATTGTAGTGGTGTAAAGACTGTGGAGGAAGGGGTGGACCAGTGAGGGAGGGTTAATTGTAGTGGTGTAGTGACTGTGGAGGAAGGGGTGGACCAGTGAGGGAGGGTTGATTGTAGTGGTGTAGTGACTGTGGAGGAAGGGGTGAACCAGTGAGGGTTGGTTGATTGTAGTTGTGTAGAGACTGTGGAGGAAGGGGTGGACCAGTGACGGAGGGTTGATTGTAGTGGTGTAGTGACTGTGGAGGAAGGGGTGGACCAGTGAGGGAGGGTTGATTGTAATTGTGTAGTGACTGTGGAGGAAGGGTTGAACCAGTGAGGAAGGGTTGATTATAGTGGTGTAAAGGACTGTGGGGGAAGGGGTGGACCAGTAGAGGGAAGGGTTGATTGTAGTTGTGTAGTGACTGTAGGGGAAGGGGTGGACCATTGAGGGAGGGTTGATTGTAGTGGTGTAGTGACCGTGGAGGAAGGGGTGGATCAGTGAGGGAGGGTTGATTGTAGTGGTGTAGTGACTGTGGAGGAAGTGGTGGACCAGTAAGGGAGGGTTGATTGTAGTGGTGTAGTGACTGTGGATGAAGGGGTGGACCAGTGAGGGAGGGTTAATTGTAGTGGTGTAAAGACTGTGGGGGAAGGGGTGGACCAGTAGAGGGAGGGTTGATTGTAATAGTGTAGTAACTGTGGAGGAAGGGGTGGACCAGTGAGGGAGGGTTGATTGTAGTGGTGTAGAGACTGTGGAGGAAGGGGTGGACCAGTGAGGGAGGGTTGATTGTAGTGGTGTAGAGACTGTGGAGGAAGGGGTGGACCAGTTAGCGTGGGTTGATTGTAGTGGTGTAGAGACTGTGTGGGAAGGGGTGGACCAGTGAGGGTGGGTTGATTGTAGTGGTGTAAAGACTGTGGAGGAAGGGGTGGACCAGTGAGGGAGGGTTAATTGTAGTGGTGTAGTGACTGTGGAGGAAGGGGTGGACCAGTGAGGGAGGGTTGATTGTAGTGGTGTAGAGACTGTGGAGGAAGGGGTGGACCAGTGAGGGAGGGTTGATTGTAGTGGTGTAGAGACTGTGGAGGAAGGGGTGGACCAGTTAGCGTGGGTTGATTGTAGTGGTGTAGAGACTGTGTGGGAAGGGGTGGACCAGTGAGGGTGGGTTGATTGTAGTGGTGTAAAGACTGTGGAGGAAGGGGTGGACCAGTGAGGGAGGGTTAATTGTAGTGGTGTAGTGACTGTGGAGGAAGGGGTGGACCAGTGAGGGAGGGTTGATTGTAGTGGTGTAGTGACTGTGGAGGAAGGGGTGAACCAGTGAGGGTTGGTTGATTGTAGTTGTGTAGAGACTGTGGAGGAAGGGGTGGACCAGTGACGGAGGGTTGATTGTAGTGGTGTAGTGACTGTGGAGGAAGGGGTGGACCAGTGAGGGAGGGTTGATTGTAATTGTGTAGTGACTGTGGAGGAAGGGTTGAACCAGTGAGGAAGGGTTGATTATAGTGGTGTAAAGGACTGTGGGGGAAGGGGTGGACCAGTGAGGGAGGGTTGATTGTAGTGATGTAGTGACTGTGGAGGAAGGGATGGACCAGTGAGGGATGGTTAATTGTAGTGGTGTAGTGACTGTTGAGGAAGGGGTTGACCAGTGAGGGTGGGTTGATTGTAGTTGTGTAGATACTGTGGAGGAAGGGATGGACCAGTGACGGAGGGTTGATTGTAGTAGTGTAGTGACTGTGGAGGAAGGGGTGGACCAGTGAGGGTGGACCAGTGAGGGAGGGTTGATTGTAGTGGTGTAGGGACTGTGGAGGAAGGGCTGGACCAGTGAGGGAGGGTTGATTGTAGTGGTGTAGAGACTGTGGGGGAAGGGGTGGACCAGTGAGGGTGGGTTGATTGTAGTGCTGTAGTGACTGTGGAGGAAGGGGTGGACCAGTGAGGGAGGGTTGATTGTAGTGGTGTAGAGACTGTGGAGGAGGGGGTGGACCAGTAAGGGAGGGTTGATTGTAGTGGTGTAGTGACTGTGGGGGTAAGGGTGGACCCGTGAGGGTGGGTTGATTGTAGTGGTGTAGAGACTGTCGGGGAAGGGGTGGACCAGTGAGGTAGGGTTGATTGTAGTGGTGTAGTGACTGTGGAGGAAGGGGTGGACCAGTGAGGGAGGGTTGATTGTAGTGGTGTAGAGACTGTGGAGGAAGGGGTGGACCAGTGAGAGAGGGTTGATTGTAGTGGTGTAGAGACTGTTGGGGAAGGGGTTTGACCAGTGAGGAAGGGTTGATTGTAGTGGTGTAGAGACTGTGGGGGAAGGGACGGACCAGTGAGGGTCGGTTGATTGTAGTAGTGTAGAGACTGTGGAGGAAGGGGTGGACCAGTGAGGGAGGGTTGATCGTAGTAGTGTAAAGACTGTGGGGGAAGGGGTGGACCAGTGAGGGAGGGTTGATTGTAGTAGTGCCGGGACTGTGACTGAGTTCATGTGTTAGGGGAAGGGGTGGATCAGTGAGTGTAGGTAGATTGTAGTAGGTGTTGACTAGAGAGCGTGGGTTGATTGTAGTGGTGTAGAGACCGTGGGGGTTGGGGTGGGTGAGTGAGGGCGGGTTGATTATGGTATTGTCGAGACTATGGCAGAGGTTCAGGGCGATATGTGTACCAATACATTCTATTTCAGGCTGAATCGTCAATGACCAAGGATCAGTACTAAATACCTAAATACCTAAACCGCGATATAACATTTTCGTTCATCCGATGTGAGTAACATAATAAAAACAGAGAACAGAGATAATGAAGTTATCAAACTTCGAAGGCAGCTTAACCGACCTTTAACAATGTTAAGATGTTACTTTCTCACACTGACTCGATCTGATAGTCTGAAAACAGTTACTACAACAGTCACTTGTTGCCTGTTTGTACATTCGTTCACAGCTACAGTGTACGGAATTTGGTTTAGTGTTATACCCGAGAATTTAACTTTAACAGAATACCAAATATTACAGTAATATTGTTAATGTTGTCGAGTGTAGTATACATTATTAATTTTGAGTATCTTGTGCGCACATTGTACTTCATCTCCGCATATGTACATGTCGAAAAAGAATAAGAAATACAATACGAAATTATACTCAAAGGCAAAAGTTATTATGACGTGGAGTTTGTCTGCTTACAAACCTTTATACGCATTTTGGATTTAAACTAGGGATAGTGTCTGTGACAGTGTCGAAGAAAGTTAAGGTAACCAACCAAATGTCGCTGGTATTTAATGTTGTTTTGCAAGACATAACGAGCATTCGGGAGAAATTGCTTCAAATATTCTCAATAAACGGCCCGATATCTCATTCCATATCTTTTAAACTCTATGCAATCTTCGAAAGCGTAGAGTTCAGAAAAAACAAAGCAATTTTGTTCCCCCACGACACGACATAGGAATGCTTGAATCCAGTTCCTGGCGGCAATTCAACGTCCACATCAACATCATGAGGCCTCGTTATCAACAGAACCAAAACATCAGTGGCCGTCCCCTAGAGTGCCTCCCATCAGTGACAACCCCTCTCCAAGACATATGGATTCGAACCCCGAATCTTCGACACAGACTCCGAACAGCATCTCCCACAGCCTGTGCCATCCCTGACAACAGAGGCGTATCTGACAGTTTACACCTCAGCGGCATCCGTGGGAGGAATGGCAATAAGTTCGTTCATCTTATTTTCGAGCAAATAATTGATATACATTTAGATACAGATTTCATTCCTTTCAAATTGAATGTACAGAATAAGCGTTGGAAAGAGAGTGTACTTTGCCAACATAAGTACTTATGTACTACTACATAAATACACACTGAGATATGTACAAATTTTTTCTGTCTTCTTTGAATACCTCACAGCGAAAATGATAATGGAATTGGTCGGCAATAACTGGTGATTTACATAATGTACAAGTACTACATGGACTCTAGGGATCCCGCGCCAACGGCCTGGTTCAACGGGTAGATTATGAGTAGTTATGTATTTTAAAATGGTGCACAATAATATTTGCTTTGAGAAGGAAGTTGTTTAACAAATATAGCGATTGCCAATCCATGACTGCAAAACATCAATGTCGATCAACGCCTCTACTGGTGCAAACTGCAGACAGTGGAGAAGGGTCCTCTTTACTGATGAGTCACGTTTCCGTCTTTACAGACCCGATGTATACAGGTGACGAGGTGAACGTTACGTCACGCCGTCTGTTCTTAAAGGCGGTCGTTTTTTTAGGTTGTGGCGTTATGGTCTGAGGTGGAATATCGGCTTCAAGAAGGACGCAAATAATTTTGATTCTTTGGAATTAGAAATACCAGGGTGATATTTTGCACACTGCCGTGTTACCCTTTTTGCAAATGAACCAGAGTGAAGTTGTGCTTCAGTCTCTGAACTAGAGCAATGTTAATGTGTTACCCTGGCCTGCAAGATCACCTGATGTCACCAATTGAACATGTCTGGGATGAAATCGAACGACGCTTGTACGTGTGCCAAAACTTTGCCTTTGAGTACATATTGTTTAATTGCAACTTCGTTTGAACTATTTAATGTGTTTGCGTCATTGTATCTACCTGTACCTTGCACATATTATAGATCCAGATAATATAATCTAACGTTAGCCATATCACAAACGCATTGCCTGACTAATGGCCTACACACTTGATTATACACATATACAAAAATTAAAGACCAATTCATTCATGTTAGTAATACTTTGTCATGACATAGCAGACAGGTTAACAAGAGTACTATGACACAAACGTCTTTTGAGTAGTATATAATGAAAAATGTAACCTGCGTATGTATGCCTGTGTGGACATGAAAATACTGAACGTGTTCGTGTAAGATTAAATGTTTGTCTTGTTTTACGCGATACATGACCTAACAGCAACAATGGCAATGCCACGTGCTTTGACAAATTGTGTAAATGTGGTGCTACGGTCATAGTAGAGTGTATTTTTGTTGTTGGACGCTGTACTCGGAAATGTGCAAGCTTTGTGATGGCAGTCTGTAAATAATCTAGTCTGGGCCAGACAATCAAGTGCTTGACGTCATGAGCATCGATCTACAATGACATCCGTCAACCATGTCAGCGAGCTTGAATTGACTACCCTATCCTGTAAAACACGTCTTACCACAAGCATGGGTTGTTGGAAGACCAATTCTAACCCGCATCGTCACAGTATAGAACAGTACTGTACGGAACAGTACAGTAAGTACATGTAAGTAAGTACAGTATAGTACAGTACTAAGAAATCCATAGTGTATTATTGTGTCCGTTGATTCAGCTTTAATAATCGAAGTTGACTGACAACATAACTGATGTGCTGGAGGGTGTCACGAAGGTGGCGAATGTCTCAGACATGCATGACTTTATTCTTCTTCTGACATTCAGCTGACACGTCGTGGTATAACTGAAGTAGTGTTCAAGACAAAACCATTCAAGTTGTTCCCAATATCAAACATAAAGCCGTGTATAGTTCTTTATGTGTTTGTATCCAATCATTTATGACAGGTCATTTTTTTACGTTTTCGCAAATTACGAATACTTACATATTACTTACATATATTATATTTAGTTCAATGGAACAGTATTTTTGCAAAATATGAAATAACAAGTACGGGTGCTATCACCTTTTTGTTTGAGTGTCTTCTGTCAAAAGGTGAATTGCGTTTTTAAGAACAGAAATCTTCGAGTTGATCAAGTATAACATTTTCGCTTCATCAACAGTATATTATACAACGAACTCGGCAGAAAGACGACCAGCAATAATTTCTGTCAAGGTGAAGAAATAAACTAAGATAAATTTGTTTTCTTTACGTTAGACAGGTGAACACATAATCGATTGTTTTGGGGCAGAAATTGGAAAATTACGTCCACACAATCTGGTTAATACCAATAGCAGGTGTATATATACTTTGTTCCGACGTGAAATCAAGTAAAACGAATTTGACTAGACTGTATTTCAAGTGATCACATGTTCCTGCATTTCCCGTTGCACCTCTAGCAAGTTAAGTATGACTGTGTACGTTTGATAACTTGCAGCCTCCATTGTCATACACAATCCGTTGCACAGTGAATTGTTTAATATTTCTCCAGCAAGTCTAGTTGAACGTTTTTCTGTGTTTGATAACTTGCAGCCTCCATGTTCATATACAATCCGTTGCACAGTGAATTGTTTAACATTACTCCAGAAAGTCTAGTTGAACGTTTTTCTGTGTTTGATAACTTGCAGCCTCCATGTTCATATACAATCCGTTGCACAGTGAATTGTTTAACATTCCCCCAGCAAGTCTAGTGGAACGTTTTTCTGTGTTTGATAACTTGCAGCCTCCATGTTCATGCACTATCCGTTGCACAGCGTATTGTTTAACATTATTCTATTATGTATGTTTGATAACTTGCCGTTAACATGATCATGTGTTGCCGTCTGAATATTGTATTGCGCGTTGTGATATCACACAATTCAGTTATTATCAAGAAAGCTCCCAATTCCCCAATTCCCCAACTCACAACTGTATAAGCATGTGATTTGTACAGTCATATTATAAAGATAAATACTTTAAACATATTAACAAAACATATTCATGAAAACAGTCACTACAAATCTAAGCAACCAGAGCAGAGTCCATGCAAAACACTTTCGATTTCCTTGACCACGAGGACGTTCAGTGCGTCATGTTAACACAAACTGTAACAACACTGAAATGTTGTGTACTGAAAAAACCCAGAAACTGTACAGATTTTACTAATAAATATGACTGTATATATCAACCATGTCTGTTGAAGTACAAGGAACATATCCGGACTCACATGACTATATTTACGGTACAGGCGCGGCAGATAACCAGGCTAACCCATATTCGAAACAGGCGGTTGTAATTCAAGGAATTCAATGCACTGGCTGATCAGTGTTGCGCTCGGTTATCTAATCTCAAGCTTGCGTCACGACACAGGTGAAGCAATACGATTCAAAATGAAACGTATAACACGAACACTTACGTAATACGGACACTAATGCATGCCTGCACGTAGGCCACCCAGTACAAATAAGTCACTAATAGACCTAGCGTACACCATGTAACTTCAGGTTTGACAGTGCATAGTATCACTGCACTACCCGTATCGAGGTCAGTTGACAAGACATTCAGCCTATGAAGTATATCTAGGTTATGCTTACCCTTTATACTGCCGTGGGCGTATTCTGTCTCAGGGCTGGCAAGGTTTCGAACCTTTACACGACGACGATGGCGATGGCGAGATATGAGGCTTGAAATATCTTACCCGGATACAAACTGTGACCTGGTTCTCCTCAGTTTACTGTTGTATACAAAGAGGTGTCTGCCATACGTAAGCAGTGGGTAGATTAACGTGGAGAGCTCGTGTCAACGGTTGTTCCTTTTGTGAGATCACATTCACGATACGTCTATACCTTGTCTTTGTTCATGATAGTTAGACCATGGTCTGTGTTCTTTCTTGTTCATTTAAAGACAGAATCCAGTTTATTTGTTAGTTGCATGTCAGTGTATTGTGCTTACAACAGACTAAACTAAACTAAAGAGTGAGTGAGTATGGTTTTACGCCGCTTTTATATATTCCAGCAATATCACGGCGGGGGACACCAGAAATGGGCTTCACACATTGTACCCATGTCGGGAATCGAACCCGGGTCTTCAGCGTGACGAGCGAACGCTTTAACCACTAGGCTACCCGACCGCCCCTGCCGGGCAAAAGAACGTATACACACATGTCTGATGTCGACTAAAAATGAAACAAACAAAAAACTGGTTATTTGATGGGGATGTATTTGATACAGGTATTATTAGTTGTGTTTAGAACCTAAAGTATCAGTGTTTCGGCGACATTCATCGTTTTACTTTGCTTTAGAATACATAGAAGAAATGTTATATTCCAAAGTAGAACACTTAATGGATGTAAGTACAGCTAAACATATTCGAGAAACATGGAGAAGATATCTGGACGACTGTTTTATTATTTGGTTCTCAACAGTGAAAGTGTGACACAATTTCCGGAAGATTCTGGATTCGATCCATCCTCTGATTTCATTCATTATGGAATGTGACCACAATGAGACGTGAAAACATTTAAGCAAGGAGACAAATTGAAAATGGATATTTACTACAAGCCGACGGACACGCATCAGTACCTACAATTCAATTTATGTCATCCGCGGCACACTAAAATTAATATTCCATATTCGATGGCAAGAAGAGTGTGTACTATTGTTTCGGATGTGGACACAAGAAACCGAAGATTAGAAGAATTAAAGACATATCTCCAACTACAAGGATATCCATGTAGAGTGATTATAGACGCTGTAAATAAAGCAATGAAAATGCCACGAGAAACATTAATGAAAACAAAAGAAACAGATACAGACAGGGACATTCTTCCATCTGTGTGTACCTACAATCATAGTTACTGTAACATTATGCCCCTTATAAAAAGCCAATCTTTCTCTTTTACAGCAAAAAGTAAAACTATGAAAACATGTTTATCTAAGTGTAAACTATACGCAGCACTAGACAGCCTAAAAATCTCAAACAAATTCTTTGTCCATCCAAACACAAGACCGTCTTGAACTGTCGCAGATGTTAATACTTATACACATGATGAAATCACTTGTTTATACATATATAGATATAAACAGATATATGAAGAACGATTCAACATTAACATGTTCAATTTTTTAAAACATCATTGATAGTGCATTGTTCTAGTATGAACGTCATTACATCGGGTACATCGGCGTCCTTCGGCATACAAAAGACGTCACCCGCTATCATTTTATTGTAATTTCGAAATCTTTAATAACAATAGGCCAAGTATTCCGTTAACATTGAATCAATTACTCTCACTGTGACACAATAAAGTATACCACACATACATATCATTTGTGGTTGTTCGTCCTTACATGTCATCATTCTTGTTACCATTTGTAATGATTTGGGACAAAGGAGCATGTAAAAACATGAATGTGAGATAATAAATTTAAATTAGATTATGTTTATATTCTGAGTAAAAGGTCTGATGTCACTGAGATTGAAATATATTAAATTCAGCGACCAATAACATCGTGATAACTGAGTAAAAATGCAAAGATCATTCAATGCGCACCGGCCTCAAAATTATATACTGATCGTCTTGTCTAAACCTTTGAGTGAGTGAGTTGGGTTTAACGCCGCTTTTGACAGTATTCTAGTTACATCACGGCGTGTCAGCTTAATGTGATAGGAAAGCCCCAATTGATGCAGGTCTCAAATGTTTACCACTTCGGTGAAACCCACAAGCACGGGTATGGTGCTGACAAACCTAGAAACAAAATCGGGGCGAACCGGGATTCGAACCCACAATCATACTAGGTTTCTGGCGTGCCCAAGGGACGGAACTCTGCACAACGAATCGCGGCGCCTTAGACGACTTGGCCACCCGTGCCCCCCTAAATCTTTGAGGAATCTATACTGGGACTAGTGTTTCGTGAACGTGATTATCACATGATGCAACGCATAGTAGTAGTCACGTGTAAATATTTAAAATGTGCATTATCAAACTTCGTACATGTACGTTCACGTATATGGATGGGATATCACCGTTACTACGTTCGATTTTAACTCACTAATATCAAAGCTTATAACTAGGTGAATAACTTGGATTTAACGTCGCTTCGCGCAGTAGTTTAGTTATTTCATCACGTCAGTGCCTGCACAACATACAGATACCGCTCTTTAAGTGGGCCGTGGGGCGGGATCTGACAGTGTCCGGGTTACTTATTGTAGTGCAGTAGTGGAAGTAGTAGTAGTAGTAGTAGTAGTAGTAGTAGTAGTAGTAGTAGTAGGAACAGTAATTGCAATAGTTGTAGTATTAGTGGCACCGTCAGTAGCAGTAGTAGTAGAAGCGGTGGCAGTAGTAGTAGTAGTAGTAGCGGTGACAGTAGCAGCAGTAGTAGTAGAAGTAGTAGTAGCGGTGACAGTAGCAGCAGCAGTAGTAGAAGTAGTAGTAGCGGTGGCAGTAGCAGCAGCAGTAGTAGTAGTAGTAGTAGCGGTGGCAGTAGCAGCAGCAGTAGTAGTAGTAGTAGTAGCGGTGGCAGTAGCAGCAGCAGTAGTAGTAGTAGTAGTAGCGGTGGCAGTAGCAGCAGCAGTAGTAGTAGTAGTAGTAGCGGTGACAGTAGCAGCAGCAGTAGTAGAAGTAGTAGTAGCGGTGGCAGTAGCAGCAGCAGTAGTAGTAGTAGTAGTAGCGGTGGCAGGAGCAGTAGTTGTAGTAGTAGCGGTGGCAGTAGCAGAAGTAGTAGTAGTAGTAGTGGTAGCAGTAGTAGTAGTGGCAGCAGTGGTAGTAGCAGCAGCAGCACCACCACCACCACCAGCAGTATTAGTAGCGGAAGCACCGGCAGTAGCAGTAGTAGTAGTGGTAGAGGTAGCAGTAGTAGTAGTAGTAGTAGTAGTAGTAGTAGTAGTAGCGCTGGCAGTAGCAGCAGTAGTAGTAGTAGTAGTAGCGGTGGCAGGAGCAGTAGTAGTAGTAGTAGCGGTGGCAGTAGCAGTAGTAGTAGTAGTAGTAGCGGTAGCAGTAGTAGTAGTAGCAGCAGTGGTAGAAGCAGCAGCAGCACCACCACCACCAGCAGTATTAGTAGCGGAAGCACCGGCAGTAGCAGTAGTAGTAGTGGTAGAGGTAGCAGTAGCGGTAGTAGTAGCAGTAGCGGTGGCAGTAGTAGTAGTGGCAGCAGTAGTAACAGTAGCAGTAGCACCGGCAGTAGTAGCACCAGCAGCATTAGAGTAGAAGTAGTCGTTTTAAACATAAGCAACATGTCATTAAATAGTTAAACCATGTAATTGAAGTGAATGCTTCATGATATGAAGAATAAGAATATTCGTTCAATGAAAACACAGAAGGGACCAGTGAAACGGTTTAAAATTCACAATTAAACATGTTCTGGCCCTCTGAAATATCACTGCAACCAAACCAGATTCTGACAGCGTGGAGAGTTATGTCCCTTACACAGACATCTCAACACTGCTCGCCTTTGACAACGAGGTTGTCCGACTCTGTGTGTTTGTATGGTGTGTGTTTGGTTGGTATGTGTGGAATGGTTTTGTGTACCAGGGGTAATTGTGGAATATTTATGTTGCGGGTATCTGCAGTGGTGCTGCCGGGAAATATAGAATAGAATTCGAATCAAAGTATCGGGGGAATATAGCCAACAAATCCCCTTGAATCTATTTAATTAGGTCACAAAGGTGGCTGGAATATATAGCCGCTCAACGTGTTTAATACAATGACGTCACCTCATTGTAACCTCGCCGTCATAACACACACACCACACACACACATATATATATATAGAGAGAGAGGTTATCACGCGTGTGTGTTTGGGGATGGTAAATATCCTGTATTTGGAATAAACATTGTATTTAGCGAGCCTTGGTGAGCTAAATACATATTGTTTAATCCTAATTATATTAGACTGTTCTTTGGATAATGATATCAATTATCCCAGTAGTTTCTCCAGATTCCCGATGGTTAATTCTGACTCGATCGTTTTTATCCGTTGGCTTTATGTATGTATGTATGTATGTATGTATGTATGTATGTATGTATGTATGTATGTATGTATGTATGTTGTATGTATGTATGTATGTATGTATGTATGTATGTATGTATGTATGTATGTATGTATGTATGTATGTATGTATATAATTTTATAGATGAACTTTCTTTGATTAAGTCATTTACTTATTAATTATATTTTCATTTCAAAATTGTGAAAAGAATGAAATGCAAGACGCTCTGACGAAACTGTTTCTCATCCATGCCTGTATGCACTGTGGCTTGGCTAATGCGTGTTGATGTGTGTGTTCACCACAACAGACATGATTTGATTTTCCAGTTTCAAGACTGGGACCATTCAACGAACGGGGAATAACCTCGGCAACTCCCCAAAACTCAGGGGATTACTTGTAGACTACTGGCTAAAGTGCTGACACGCAATAACACGACGCACCCAAGACTTGAAATAAGACTCCAAAGGACCAACAAGGTTTCTTTTTTTATTGGACACATATACAACTACATATGAAACAACACGTGTATCCAACACGTGTACATCAACCAGTGACCGCAGAGAAATGTGTGTACTGCTAATTGGGAAAGGGTTCACGAATATATATGGAATGAGCATGTTTACAAAAGAAATATGAAACGGGCAACATGGCTTTATACAAACACAAAAATAGAACTTAAAGAACAAATAAAAAATATACAGCATACAGTAGGATATTGACATTGTACTGTTTCGTGTTGGAAGCCTGTCTCAGCGACTATAGTGAGGGTCTTAAACAGGCTGGGGTTTGCAGGTTCTTTTAATTGTTGTTTAACGCCACACTTACCAATGTTCTAGATATATGACGGCGGTCTGTAAAGACTCAAGTCTGGACCAGACAATCCAGTGATTGACGTCATGAGCATCGAGATACGATGACATGCATCAACCAAGTCAGCGAGTCTGACCACCCGTTCCCGTTAGTCGCCTCTTACGACAAACAGAGTCGCCTTTTACGGAAAACATGGGTTGTTGAAGACCTGTTCTACCAAGGATCTTTACGGGCCAGGGTACGCTGGTAGCAGAGGTACTATAACGTACTATAACGTACTATAAAATACTGCAGATGTGATTTTAACTCTGATATTATGGATGGAGTGGGGTCGGGTGGGATGGTGTCGGGTTGATGGTGTTGGATGGGTGGCAGTGCTTCATACAACATCAGCAGCAACAAGAATAAACCATAGAATGAAATTTATAAATGTATCATCTGATGCACTTTGTTCTAAGAACAGTCCACTGTGTACAAAAACAGTAACAACGATACACCATAGAATGGAATTTATATATGCATCATGAGACGCACCAGAACTTTGTTCTAAGAACAGTCCACTGTGTCCATTAACAGTTACAACGATACACCGCAGACTGAATTTATATATGCATCATCAGATACACCAGACACTTTGTTCCAGGAACAGTCCACTGTGTCCATTAACAGTCACAACGATACACCGCAGACTGAATTTATATATGCATCATCAGATACACCAGACACTTTGTTCCAAGAACAGTCCACTGTGTCCATTAACAGTCACAACGATACACCGCAGACTGAATTTATATATGCATCATCAGATACACCAGACACTTTGTTCCAAGAACAGTCCACTGTGTCCATTAACAGTCACAACGATACACCGCAGACTGAATTTATATATGCATCATCAGATACACCAGACACTTTGTTCCAGGAACAGTCCACTGTGTCCATAAACAGTTACAACGATACACCGCAGACTGAATTTATATATGCATCATCAGATACACCAGACACTTTGTTCCAAGAACAGTCCACTGTGTCCATTAACAGTCACAACGATACACCGCAGACTGAATTTATATATGCATCATCAGATACACCAGACACTTTGTTCCAAGAACAGTCCACTGTGTCCATTAACAGTCACAACGATACACCGCAGACTGAATTTATATATGCATCATCAGATACACCAGACACTTTGTTCCAGGAACAGTCCACTGTGTCCATAAACAGTTACAACGATACACCGCAGACTGAATTTATATATGCATCATCAGATACACCAGACACTTTGTTCTAAGAACAGTCCACTGTGTCCATAAACAGTTACAACGATACACCGCAGACTGAATTTATATATGCATCATCAGATACACCAGACACTTTGTTCCAGGAACAGTCCACTGTGTCCATAAACAGTTACAACGATACATCGCAGACTGAATTTATATATGCACCATCAGACACACCAGACACTTTGTTCTAAGAACAGTCCACTGTGTCCATAAACAGTTACAACGATACACCGCAGACTGAATTTATATATGCACCATCAGATACACCAGACACTTTGTTCCAAGAACAGTCCACTGTCCACTGCCAGCAGTGTAGTAGTGAATATATTCTCCGTTAGGATGTATCCTTGTTATTCCAATCAGGTTGTTCCAATACCTCTTCAAATATTATCAATACACTTGCTGAGAAATTGTCATCAAACTTTGAAACGATTCCATAGAACCGTATCTGTTTTCCAGCCAGTTCGGGCCCTCAGCCATGACGGCTGCCATCTGTTGAATATTCCTGAAAAAGAGTCCGCAATGTTCACTAGCGCAAGCATCATCAACGAGTTTTCGGTTTGATGACATTCTACACAAGAACAAGCGCAATGCATATGATTCGTCCTGCTCCTCCTGAAAAGCACCAGGCTTGGATTCCACCAGGCTGTATCTCATGTCGATACGAAGATGAGGATGCATGTCAATGATTTTGTTCAGATAACCAGATCCATAGCCTAAGGTCACAAGGGCCGTCTTTCCATTGAAATACCCCTTTGCCAGTTGTTTGAGACACAACGGAGCACAGATGCCCACGCTCTCCACGCTTTCACTCGCTTCTTCTCTTTCGTAACAGTCAACGACTTTGTACAATACCTCTGAACCAACAATGAGAACGAGGTCAGCCTGTTTGATTTGTTTCATTGTCCATTCCAGAGGTCCATGTTCCATCATGATCTTTCTGTTGACATCGTCGTATGGGTCTATGACAGTCTTGCCCACCATTCGGAAAAGGTTTGCAAGTTCCAGACATGCATTTCTATGGAGCTGATCATCAAACCCAGAAATGAGCAAGATCTTTTTTATTTCATCTGTTGAAGAAAATAAAGAATTTATGTATGTTTTAATTAAATTAAAGTTTTTCTTCAATAAATGAATCTGCTGGATTTTGTTTCAAAATAGTATTTTATTTTTGACCCATGTAATACATTTACATAATTATCAGCTATTTAGGTTTCGTGTTAATAAGATACACCAAATCATAGTGTTGCATAAAGTACCAGGTAGGTCATTCGAAATATGATGACAAAACATTTATATCAATTTTATGCATTTTACAAGAAATAGAATTGATAACGAACGAGATAAAATGCAAATGTCTGGACACTTTATGAACAGCTACAAATATGAAACACATGAGAAGCCATTGCATCAAGAAAGGCAGAAATATGCATTAAACTTTGTTTTATACATACCTCTCCTGTGTCTAGAGAGCTGTCGCATCTCCTCCTCGAGCCTAGTCATTTCAGGACTGGAAGGACTGCATTGTATCTCCATCCGCTGCAAGAAGTCGGACAAGCTCAACTCAGCTGCCTTATTCCGTTGGTTATTTCTTGCGCTGTAACGCGGATGATCCATAACCTCCGGCACTTGAACCACCAACGGGGATTCCACCTCCGACCGTGTGAAGTCCAGCTGCAACAGGACTGTTCTGTTCCTGTGTAGTCCCAGATTCCTGTCCTCTTCCTGGGCATGGGTGTCCTGCAGGAGGACAAGCATCTGGATTTCATTCATGGAAGGTTGGCGGTATGCGATTTCCCCAATTGGGATAACCTTGCTGTTGGAGCCAGGTAATGCGCGTCTCAAGATATCAGCTGTTGTCTTCACTTCCTTTTCCTCGGAACCTTCCACAATTTGAAATTTAGGTTTTCCTGTAAACGACAAAGTATTAGATAAAATCCACGTACGTTACAGAGTATACTATTCATATTCAAGTATATAATACGCAAACACCACACACACACACGCACACACACACACACACACACACACACACACACACACACACACACACACACATGTACGATTTATACGTTGCTGATAATTATGTTATGTGTGGCTCGTAGAGATGAAAGCGCTCGCCTAGGAATGATTAATTTACATTATATGTTTGTATGCTGTCAGTGACATGTAGTGATACGTTGAGTTGACGTCGTATCCAGTACTCTTCTTACTTAGTGTCTCATTTGAATTTGAACTCTAGTCACAAAATATCAAACTTTGTTGATGACAAAATCGTTGTCAGGATAACCTCGTATATCAGTAAAAACATGCTCTGATGCCGAAACGAATAGGTACTTTTCCAAACGAAATCAAGGACAAAGATAGCTGCAACGGAGAACTATGTCCGACCTGTTAGTGGTTCTGTTTCAGGATCTGTCAATGGCGCCTGGTGCCGACCTGCTAAGTGATTAGATGAGAGATGATTAGTTTCATAGCTACAATGTGCTACTCGTTGGTGTTGTTGCATTGGTTATGTCTATCGAGAGCAACTGAATTCGATTTACAAGATTACAAAAAAATGTAAGTATAGTAAAACATGACAAGAATGTTGTAACCATGGTAACACCTACGTTTAAGAAAACATGCCAGGCCAAAGGAAATACTTCCAATGAAGGCAAATGCTCCAACCAACACCACAATCAGCTTGGTTGGAGGACGGCTCGACATGTCAGGCGTCGTGGTAGCCTGAAAAACTACACTCTCAGGAACTGAAATAATAACGTATTATTGCAGAAATAAAGCACCTTTCCACCCTCTTAGCGTAAAGCATTTAGATTTATTTGGGTAAATGAGAGTGAGCTACAGAATGTGAAGCTCACCCACATAACATCTTAATGATGATAGCATAGCAGATACAGTGTCAACAATTTATTGAAGTTAACCCTGAATAAATTAACAAGTTGCATTCATGAGAAATCTATTTTACAATATATACAAGTGGGTCCGTAAGTTCTTATCTATAAATCGTGTCTACATTGTTATCCGTTAACTTCTAAGAAATGCCTATCAAACAAAAATGCTTACTGGTCATGGGTTTATATGGCATCTGAAGAGCTGCGCTCTTGGCATATTTAGGGGAATCGCATCCCAAAGCACCAACCTGTTATCATCCGGAACAAGAAAGAGAAGTAGTCATTGATATTGATCAATTACCGATCGTTCAACAACCGTATTTTGTATTTCGTTCATTGAATAGTTATATCGATATAGGAAATAAAGTTTTTGCAGTTAGCTTATGTATTTATGACATGGCTTTCGCTAATAGTCCAAGTGTTTGTAAACATTATTTTATAAACCACATATCAAAAAGTACAATGTTTATAATTACCGAAGCTTCGTACTCTCCAGGCTCCTTGATAGTAAACTTCTGACTGTGAAGACAATTGCGCAACTGTGGAATAACATAATAACATATATTCAGTATATTTTATCAAATAAATACTCATATCACAAGGCCCACAATATTATTCGCGTTAATAAATAACCACGTACTTAAACAAATACCTAAAAACGTCATGTTTACGTAGGCATTGATAATATATCTTCCTCCAGTCGACAGTTTCTGAATAAGTGACAGGTGGAATAACCTTACATTCACTATCACTTAAAAGTCACTACCATGTAAGTAGGGATCATGGCCTCCTCGGTGTTCGGTTGCGATCCCTTTCGTTCGATTATGACAACGATTTCTCTGGATATGTTACATGGGTTCCAGACCACGTCAACTTCCATAGATTTATTCTTTACTGGGTTCAGTTGCACCCAGACCGGAGTCCAACAATAGAGCGGCCCCTGGTGCTGTTCCTCCACAGACCAACAATCACACTTCTTATCAGGTTCATGTGCTGACTCAGCTTCGGGCATAGGCTAGAAAATAAATGCCAGAAATTATATCCACAAACAATACCAATGTGGGATATCGAACCCTGGCCTTCAGCGTCACGAGCGAGGTTAAATCAATGTCCATTGGGCTTGCGTTAAGCACAAAGTTACTCCACCGCCCAATGCACGATGGTCAATATACATAAGTTTATTCAAAAGATATGTCACCAGATGGAAAAAAATGAAATAAATAAAATGCGTTTAAATCAATCTCAGGGATACCTCGATTCCTATATTGGCCTACTGTTTAAGTTTGCTTATTACAGAAATTAGTTACCAGTCTGAATTGACGAATTTGGGCAATTTTGGATTGGCCATTTCAAGATGCCTGGATCAGGATGTATTATTTACCTACCTCGTTCACTGCAATTGGTTTAGCATCCTCATCACTGAGTAGTAGCCTCCTGTTCAAGTCCAGTGTGTCTGCATCAGTGCAGCGAAGTCTCAGATACTCATGCTTATATTTTTTCTGAATAACAAAGGCAACAAAGAGTTTATCTGACGGTGTATTAAAATATGCACACGAGTGTTGATTGATACGTTCTCAGCCTCACATAATTTCACCCCTTCCACGATGATATACTTTTGCCAACATGTTGGAAGGGTGTTATCCCAGTTCCTTTAAGTCCTTCTCTTGTGTGTCCATGGAGTCGACATGGGTTACGGCTCACTCATTCGCCTGCTGGTCCTTTTCGTGGTTTCTCTGGATCATGTCTGGTGTTGCTGAATTCACTGGCCTTCCAGGACGGGGGTCGTCTTCAGAGCTCTCCATGTCACGCTTATACTCTACTGCCCTCCTCTTTACGGAGGCATAGAAAGGGACATACTTCACAGTTTTCTGCTCCTGTGTTCATGGATGGCTTTTAGTAGTACCTTTTTTCTGCAAGTACTTGATCACTGCACGTTCCTCAAATGTCTTCATTTTCCAAAGATCACAGACCCCTGCTTTTTAACTGACTTGTCACAACGAAATTCTCAATTCTCAATTCTCTCACGTTTTTTGAGAATATACCAATCTGACACCACAACAAAAAATCGCTGTGCAGAGTTGCGTCCCTTGGGCACGCCAGAAACCTATGATTGTGGGTTCGAATCCCGGTTCGCCACGATTATGTTTCTAGGTTTGTCAGCACCATACCGAAGTGGTAAACGTCTGAGATCTGCATCACTTTGGGCTTTCCTCCCACATTAAATTGACACGCCGTGATATAACTGGAATACTGTTAAAAGCGGCGGTAAACAAAACTCACTCACTCACTCACAAAAAAATTAATTCAATGTTACGTAATTACTTCAATCAACCCTTGTGCATGCACATATGTGTATATTTAAAAAAATTGCTATTGCTATTTCAGTCTCATTTAGTATCAATGTCGTTTACATAAGCCATGGTGTGAATACGCTACCATGGTTAAGATGCCATGGAAAATATCTTCTTTTCGGATATCATAGAAGGCCCCTCTTCACACATGTATTGATCTATTGATATCAACATATAACATTTATGAAACTAGATTAATTTATGTCATTACATTGTATGACGAATATAACATGCTTACCAAATTGATTGTGATGTTTAAGCAGAGTCCAGAATCATTCGCAGCCAAAGGTATATATAACATCGCATTCCCGGACTCTACAAGGAAGGAAACACGCAAATACAGTCACCATATATACATCGTTGCTTTCTCTTACTCTGTCGGGCGGTAGGGTAGATTGATGGTTACGGCGTCCGTTCGTAACGCCAACCACACAGGTTCGATTCCCAGTATGGACAAATTGTGTGAAGCCTAATCATAGTGCTCCCCTCAGTGATATTGTTATACTAATGCTGAACACTCTCTCACTCCTACTGAACTCTCGACTATTCCTGCTGAATGCTCACACACTCTTGCTGAAAACACACATACACACTTCTGGTGAACACTCACTCCTGCTGAACTCTTGCCTATTCCTGCTGAACACTCACTCCTGCTGAACTTTCGCCTATTCCTGCTGAACACTCACTCCTGCTAAACTCTCGCCTATTCCTGCTGAACTTTCGCCTATTCCTGCTGAACACTCACTCGCTCCTGCTGAACTCTCGCCTATTCCTGCTGAACACTCACTCCTGCTGAACTCTCGCCTTTTCCTGCTGAACACTCACTCGCTTCTGCTGAACTCTCGCCTATTCCTGCTGAACACTCACTCACTCCTGCTGAAAACACACATACACACACTCCTGGTGAACACTCACTCGCTCCTGCTGAACTCTCGCCTATTCCTGCTGAACACTCACTCCTGCTGAAAACACTCACTCACTCCTGCTGAACTCTCGCCTATTCCTGCTGAACACTCACTCGCTCCTGCTGAACTCTCGCCTATTCCTGCTGAACACTCACTCACTCCTGCTGAAAACACACATACACACACTACTGGTGAACACTCACTCACCCCTGCTAAACTCTCGCTTATTCCTGCTGAACACTCAATCACTCCTGCTGAACTCTCGCCTATTCCTGCTGAACACTCACTCACTCCTGCTGAACTCTCTCCTATTCCTGCTGAACACTCACTCACTCCTGCTGAAAACACACATACACACACTACTGGTGAACACACACTCGCTCCTGCTGAACTCTCGCCTATTCCTGCTGAACTCTCGCCTATTCCTGCTGAACTCTCGCCTATTCCTGCTGAACACTCACTCACTCCTGCTTAACTCTCGCCTATTCCTGCTGAACACCCCCTCACTCCTCCTGAAAACACACATACACACACTACTGGTGAACACTCACTCACTCCTGCTAAACTCTCGCCTATTCCTGCTGAACACTCACTCACTCCTGCTGAACTCTCGCCTATTCCTGCTGAACTCTCGCCTATTCCTGTTGAACACTCACTAACTCCTGCTGAACTCTCGCCTATTCCTGCTGAACACTCACTCACTCCCGTAAAAAAAACAACACACATACACACACTTCTGGTGAACGCACACTCGCTCCTGCTGAACTCTCGCCTATTCCTGCTGAACACTCACTCACTCCTGCTGAAAACACACATACACACACTCCTGGTGAACACTCACTCACCCACTCCTGCTGAACGCTCACAACACCTGCTGCCCATCCACTCATCACTCAAGGTAACCTGGCGATCACTTTACTTGTTTTCTATAAGTCTACTCACGCGGTAGGATGTTTTTCCTCCACTTTATTATCAACATATTCCTCTGCGTATCTTCAGTCAGCCCAAGATCAAATGGTTTTATGGTACCTTTCAGACTCGACGGCAATGCCAAAGATCTGCAAACTAACGAAACACAAACACGACGTCATCATAATTCAAAATCCTCATTATAATAATTGTAATTAGATTAAAACATATATTAAAGAGATAACTCTAAGGTGTGCTACATTCCTATGTATTCATATAAACAAGAACATATATTACATTGTTAGTTTAATATTCTAGTTTCTGACCGCCTCCGTGGTCTTGTGGATAGAGAGCAGAAGGTCGGTGGTTCGATCCCCTGACAGCGTCATATGAAAATACTTTGAAAGATGGTTTCTGTTGTTACCCTTCCCGGTTATTGGTATTAAGGGGATGAAAAACGACTGGTCAGTATAAGGTATTTATGTTAAAACTGCGGCATGGTATCTCAGTGGGCTGTAATACCGGCATAAGTCCGGTATCAATGTAAGCAGCTGCAAACGTGTACATTGTACGTCGCTATACAAGTGTGATACAGTATTACAGTTATATCGCGGCGTGTCAGCTTAATGTGGTAGGAAAGCCCAAAGTGATGCAGGTCTCAGACGTTTACCACTTCGGTGAAACCCAGGAGCACGGGTATAGTGCTGATAAACCTTGAAACATAATCGCGGCTAACCGGGATTCAAACCCACAATCATAGGTTTCGGGCGTGCCCAAGGGACGCAACTCTGCACAGCGAATCGCGGCGTCTTAGGCGTCTTGTCCCCAGGAAGGAGATCAGAGAAGTCAATTCATAATAGATGGAATTCCCAACCAAAAACATTAAGTTTATGGCTTTAAATTAAAATATATTTATATGTACATACCGTTATCATGAACCGGAGATACCGTCCCTTTGCGGCAGGTTTTATGCTGAAAGGTAAAGCAGACTTATAAGTGTTAGCCCTCTACGTGTCCTTCAGCCAGGTATGAGCAATAATGTGGTCGTTACCTTGACATCACATCATATTATCTTCTAAGGACATATTTCATCACATCACATCACATCACCTTCTCAGGACCCACGGTTCTCGTGTTGACAAGCCAAGACGTTGATGCTAGAATTTGCAAATATCATATTGACCACCTCAATCTAGATGAATGAAAACAAAAAGGACTCTGTTGGAAAGCTAAATTGACGGCTGAAAGAAACTGTTTGACCTTACAGAGGACAGTTACAGAGCAGAGATTGAGATGGGCCCGGACTGTACGTCGTTGGCAAGACGTGACTGGCAGAGGGCCGTCTTCACTGATGAAAGCCGGTTCTGTCTGTTGAAACACAGAGTGTTTACCGGAGAACGAACGGCGGCATGTTGCGTTGTACCTTATGGTTGAGGGGGCGTTATGGTGTGGGCAGGAGAGAACACCAATGGTCATTGTTAACGGAAATTACATGGATGAGGATGTCAATCATCGTCCGATTGTCCTACCAATTCTACACCAGCTATAATATACTCTGTGTACTCTGTAGACTATTGAGGCGGCCAGGTAGCCCAGTGGTTAAAGCGTTCGCTCGTCACGCCGAAGACCCGGGCTCGATTCCCGACATGGGTACAATGTGTGAAGCCAATTTCTGGTGTCCCCCGCCTTGAAATTGCTGGAATATTGCTAAAAGCGGCGTAAAACCATACTCACTCACTCACTCACTCACAACATATGTGTCATTGGTGAAAGGAAATGGTTAATTGCTAAACCGTTATGGCGAACACCTGGTGTCATCACAGATTTTTAGAGATCCACTCATATAATAAACAACGCTATTTTGCTCTTACGCCCAATGAAATCTGTTTCGCTGGATAATCGAGACAGGTTATTCTCTGGCGTTGATGTTTAATATTTACGTCTACATTAACCTCATCGAACATCGTTTTTATCTTCCCTGGGAAACAGATAAATAAAAGACTCATTAACGTGATTTTAATTCGCATTGAACCTGGTGATTTGCATCACTACCATTTTCAAATACAAACTGGTTTATATTATGTCCTGTCACCTATTCATATCTAAATGTGCAAGGTGGGACGTGGGACGTCAACTGATTGCTTAGACGGTAGCGAGGATGTATGTATATCGGCTACATCCACACGGCGTCCATTGGAACAAAACGCGGTTAAGTGGAACGTAACACAATACTTCTTCGGCAGTCAGGGTGTATGTTTATTGCTGCTCCGGCTCAATGTGTGCTCACACACTTGCATTATATTTGTTTGGTGATACCGTGAATGGCTTCAGGACGACTGATACTCATCCATAACAGTTTCATTTCATAAGTAGCCGAGCACCCAGTCTGTTATACCAAATTTCTTAGTGCTTAAAACGTGGACATTTTGCTGAACAAACGCAGCATACATTCAAAAATACAATTTAATGTGCATGATGATATGACGAGCCCACACTCTAAAGCATGGTAAAAGTGCTACATTATTACCCCGCTAAATGGATCGATTTCATCCTCAGCTCCCTGGGGAGTATACAGCCTGAGCTGCCTATGATGCGCTATAAGGGTAACAGTACCCATAATCACTGCTGGGTGAACAGAGGCATATAGCCACGAGACACGATATGTGCTACTAGTGCTGCAGCGTGGAGCAAGACCGAGTCCCAGAAACTCTAAAGCTCCCGAATGCAGCACCCATCCAACTACTCTCCGCAAACAACATTGCCCGACTGATTTGTGACCTGTGCACTGTACACAGGAACACGTGGCAAATTATTATACTTCTTACCTATAATACAGTGACTACGGTATACAGGTTTAATGTCTATCCAAGGCCGGGTGGTTGTTATATAGTTTATAGAATTTATAGCTTATCACACATTTACGTTGACGTCACGATAGTAAACATATACGCGTACCCGAGTGGCCTGTAAGAGCATCTTATTTAACAAGAAGACCTTTCTTGTAACCTAGTCAAGTGAAAGGCAATTGTGCGGGTACGTTATCACATGTTGAAATCTGGGGATGGTCCTTTATGTAAGGGACAATTCACGTCTATTCATTCCATACACCCATTTATCACACAGACGTACATACAGTTTTGACGAGCCCCGTGATCATGAAGATCCGGGTTAGAGTTGGTCTTCAGCACCCTATTCCTGCCGTGGGAGTTCAGGCTCGCTGACTTGGTTGATGCATTGGTAGGTCGACGCTCATGATATCAGTCACAGGATTGTCTGGTCAAGACTCGATTTCTTACAGACCGCCTTCATATAGCTGGAATATTGCTAAGTGCGGCGTTAAACAACAAAGAGCTTTGGGGGAGGATAACATGCCGATATTCCCCTGCAGTTATAATGCATGTGGCGTTTGGCAGACATGTGTTATGCATAAAAAACAAACTATTTTTTCAATGCTCTCCGTCTCATTGCGTTTGAAACCTCAGTTTTAATGAACACAATATCCAGATAACCTACGTATGTTGTTTACATGTTATCTCTTTTTGTGCTGGGGTGTCCTTTGTTATGTTTGCAGAGTATCACATATTTGCGCTCACCATTATATAACAAACCCGAAGTCTGTCGCTAGTGTCACAACGCTCCAACAAGCGTGTATTGAAAAGAAGGAACACTCCCGTGAAATTGACACCGGTGGCAGGGAAATACGAGCTGGGGAGAGAAGGTTACAGCGTGATACAACAAACTGGAAATATTTGCCCACCAGCTGTTTACCTTTATCTAGTAGTTGACATGATTTATGAAATATTTATGCAGATTACGATTTCCTAATAGAGATGCTGAGACCGCCTGGTTCCAGAGAACAGAGACAACTAAAGCGGCATTATGGTAATGTTTGTTTGTTTGTTTGTTGTTGTTTAACGCCGCACTCAGCGCTATTCCATCTACATGACGGTGGTCTGTAAATACCAATGGCTCGCAGACGCTCATTTTCGGACAGGCGTGGCTTATCGTAATGTTGAATAATTGCGTAATTTTGTTGTTTTTCTGAGTGGTTGTTGTCAGCACGATGCTAAACAATGCATATGGAATCCCGTTAACGCACATGTTTTTATACCCATTCTTGGGTAGTGAAATGCATGGGGCTTGCATAGACGTCAACTTTTGCATGGAATGCATGCTTTTCTGTAGCAGTTGCGTTTTTGTGACTTGATTCCATACATGTACTAAAATATTGAAAACCAAACTTTACTTGTTTGAAAAATACACTAAAATATTTGTGTACACGAACTTTTGTTGTTGAGTATATGTGTATAACACACAGAACGTGAATTAGAAATTGTAAATTTGTATTCGTTTTAATTTATTATTATTAATGAATAATTTAAAGAACACTTGAGTCGCAGTGCATGTCAAATCTTCAACGAAACAAAGCAATAAGAGTACATTAAATAACAAAACCATGATCTCTGTTAATATTGCCTGTCATTATGGAATCGATAATGAATACGATTTTAATGTTGTTCATGATGTCGAAGGCCGTTTTTTTTAATTTGGGACTGGGAAAAAAGTATGATTATAGAAAAAAAATACGATTTTTCATGCAAATCCAGGCTGGTGGGCGACTTCCTCCAAATTTGGATCCAAAGAGGAGGAAGTACCGCGATGTGGATAGCGGTATTGAGAGGGAAAAGCAGGAGTTGTTGGCAGGGCTCAAGTCACCAACAGAATATGCTGATTCTGTGGCAAGATTTATTGGTTTGTGAGTTAAAACGTATGTGAAGTGTAAATAATTAATTTAATTTCTGACTTTAAGTTTATATATTTTGTATGTATGAACACATGTATGATTTATAATGTATGCTGTATGTACATGAGAAATAAAATAACGAAAGTCATGTTGCCCTCTTTTAAATCCCTTTTTAATCCTCACAATCCCTCTATTGTACATTTGTCAGTAATGGTTGGGTAATTTTTAACCCAGAACAATAGGTGCCGGCAAACTGAGCCCCTCCCTGGCAAAGCACAGAAGAGTCACTGTATTTTCAAGCATCACTTCACAATTATATTGCGTGATGCCTAAGTAATGAACTATTAAAAGCTGCGCAGTAAGCATGCTCACACATGTTAGGAGTTCCTAGAATTCAAATGAAGTGACCTGACTTGGCTTACCTCAGTCAGTTATGTTTATACTCATGAAATAATGCATGTTATCCGAAAGATAACGTAGCAAGCTAGCGTTAAGATTACATCGGATACAGAACCACACGGTTATAGACCCTTCATGTGTATCTACAACAACCTTTGTAATGCAAACATTATTCGCAGGCTATACGTTTGACTCGCTGTGTCTTTACCAAAAGACAGGTATACGGCCAACCATAAAGAGGTGATTTAGGAACCTCTGAACCTGCCCCTGGATCCTGGCCTGGACCCGTCCCTGGACCCCGGAAAGAACCTTCTGCTTGACCAACCCCTGGACTGGACCCTTCCCTTGGCCCGCCCCTGGAAACTGGACTGGACCCGCCCATAGACCCTGGACTGGACCCGCCCCTGGGCCCACTTGCACAAAGCGATCTTAGCGCTAAGACTATTGTAAGCCTATGTTAAAGTAAGGGAGTTACAATCATCTTAGCGCTAAGATCGCTTTGTGCAAGTGGGCCCAGGGCACTGGACGGGACCCGCTCCTTGACCAGACCCTGGACCTACCCTGAACCCATCCCTAGATTCGCCAACTAGCAGTAATACTATGTACACCGTTAAGATGGGTTTGCAGGACAGAAAAACCAACAGAATCGGTGCGAAACAAGGATTCGAACTCATGATTCAAAATATAAGTGGCGCAACTCAGAGAAGCAACGCGGACTACTTGGCCATCCGTGGCCCTGTTACACGTACGGGCGCCACCCAACTGGCGTCAAAATGAGATTAATCGGGCAAACTGACAATACGAGTACGGAACTGTCGTACTTCATGTT